AGGTTGAGGCCTCTCCCGCCGTTGTCTCCTTTTCGAGGCTGTCCGACTTGGCCGACGGCCTCGACTAGGTGCTCATGGCTGCTGGCGCACTCGCTACCGCTGCCCACGGCGCATCACTCGTCATCGGCCTGCACTATTTCAGGAGGTCCTTCAATTTGGTCGACACTGAACTGGTTCAGTGTGTTCTCCACAGCCTGCTCCTCGACTAATTTATGCAGGTAAACCGATGCTTCACATGCTCTTCTCTTAATCATGATATTTATTGCCTGAGACACCCCAAGGTCAATTCAGCAACAAATGTCTTAAGGTTCCAGTTTATTCCTACAAATTGAAGTGGTAAAGACCGTTTCCTGCGCGCGTGTTCCACTACTGTCCTATATATACAGCGAGCAGGGAAACCACCGAATCATACAGAGCAAAGCACACAATAGTACAAGACCGGCAGGCGGCAGCAACAAGGCCTCCACATACAAGCTCTCTTGTTGCAATCTCTCTTGATTATTCTGGCCCATCATCAAACTTGATTAGCGACAGAGAAACAACTTGTCAGATACAAGATCAATATATGGTTGCCAATGTATGTTTGTTTAACTTTTTCCAGGGTGTTCTTCTCTATGGGGAAGCCATTATTATCAAGGGCTATGGCCAGTAACATTCATGCTAACTTTTTGGGTTTTCACTTGATTGACGGTACTTCGTATTTTCATTCTGTCAGTATTACATTACACTGACGTGTTGTCTAAAAATCAGATTGTGTCAAGTCCTATAATTGACAAATACATCGGAGAAATTGCTCATTTAATCAGAGAAATGTTTGGCTATGCACGTGATCACCAAGTAAGTTTTGCCCCGGCTCTTTTTTTTGCAAAGCTAATTGGTCTTAAACTTAATTCCCTTATTATTTGTTAGAAACGCATGTCGGCAGATAGTTATGCATCCCCTGGCGCTGAGATGCAAGCTGCGACTTGATAGTTCCCGTGACTCAGATATCATGTCATCGAACTGTATTCCGGTTCAACGCTATAAAATTTTAAGCTTTAGATCTCAGTATCAGTTTTTCCTGAGAAAAAGAAATCAAACTGATCTCAATATAAGTAGAAGTGCATTTCTGAGATCTTTTAGCTTATATCACCATTTAGTTTATTTACCCTGCTCATAGATTTTGTTTCATTTTCATCAAATTTTTATTTCTAGCGATGCATTATCTTCATGGATGAAATCGATGCAATTGGTGAGAGAAGATTTAGTGAGGGAACCTGTGACGTCCGTGAGATCCAGCGGACACTCATGGAGCTTCTTAATCATTTAGATGGATTTGATGAGCTTGGCAAGGTAAACTATCATCATCAAGTTTTTTCTCTCTAGAGGCCTTTATGCCATATATGCAAAGGAATGGATTCAATCGAAGTAATTTGCTTGCCTGTATGTGTGTGTGTGTGCGCGCGCGCGTGTGCGTGTGTGCGTGCGTGTGTGTGTGTGTGTGTGTGATATGCACTCCAGCTTTCCTGGCTTTCGTGGAAAGTATATGTGTTTATACATGAATTTTGTAGATTAAATTGTTGCTCATCTTTGCTTCATTGCTTCTATGAATTTTCTAGATGTGGATTCACGTAACATTTTATTTAACTCCTTTTTGTAACATTACACATTTTTGCTCTCGGGGGAAAGTATAGGTGTTTCGACATGAATTTTGTGCATAAATTTTTTTTTCATCTTTGCTTGATTGCTTCTATGGATTTTTTGGATGCGGATTCGAGTAACATTTTATTTAACTTGCTTTTTTAACATTACACATTTTTAGAAGGAAAAAAATTGAGGACTGTAGGTTTTGTTTTGTCTGATTGTTGGCATGCCAACGGAATTGCCTCATTGTTTGATAGACTTGAATAGTTATGATTTCTTTCTTACTGGGCTTGTTTTATTTTATTTTGGGAAAAACCCATGACTTTATCCTAACCCGATACATCGTGATCACTAATGCCGAGAAGGGTTCATCGTCCCAATCAAGGTGAGTAAAATTAACCGCCTCTTTTGGTGCTGATGCAACTAGGAATGGTGTTACTTGTGGCTTGAGTGGCTTCAGTTCAGTGGGTAACACAACTTATTTGCACTTCCTGGAAATATAATTATCATTTGTTATTTTGCTATGTATTAGCTGTGACTTGACTGATTCGAGGTCAGGAACATGATTAGTCTGATGTATTATGCATGACCATTGGAAGACATTGTTTTCCATGATATAATTAGTGTGATGGTACAGTTACCCCAATTGATCGGATGCCACAATGCCCTCTATCTTTTTGAGTGCTTTTGGTTGATTTCTTCAAGCAGTGCAAGCTAGAGTGTGAGCTTTGCCTATGCCCTTAGTAGCTTACAAAAGTTCACCTTACTTCACTTTCCTGTTACTATATTGGCATCTATTCATGAAGCATGGTCATTTCCTTATAAGTATAAATTTTTGCAATCAGCACATGAGTCATCCAATTTGTTTTACAACCCGAGGTTCACATTAGTTGTTTCTCTTCATGGTGACTCAGCTTTATTGGTGTCACTCTCAGCTCGATGGTCATGAATCAAATGTGACTTCCTATCTAATTACATTTAACTTCAACAATTGCTTGTTTTAACCATTGCTCATTATTCAGATTGTCTTTGATGGGTGAGTTTTGGCTACGTACACAACATCGCACTCAGAATTTGAGCGGCGCTAATAGAACTGTTGAGTGCTCGATCTGATTCTTTAAAGAATCAAAGCATTCAAATTCTTGTTTTAATGCTTTAGAATATGAATACCTTTAAAAAAATTATCATGCATTTGTAATTTTGTAACTCATGTTGATCAGTAATTCTTGTAGTTGTGTAAATTTTGCACAATCATAAGTCCTTTAGAATGCTAAAACCTGACACCTATGCTTCAATAGTTTCCTGAACTGAACTTCTGTAAAATACATAAACCAAAGAGTACTCTTAGATATTTAGTTTAGGTTAAATTTGCGCAGAGTGATTAAGAATATTGGCTTGCAATAATAATCAAAATGGACCAGTTTGGCGTGCAGTAATAATCATAACGGTAAATGGTATGTTCTTTTATTGCTACTCTCACTTTCCATGTGCATGCTAGGTATGTTTCCTTTCACTAGGCAATTGTACTTTGTTCTGGGTTGCATCAACTTGCATCAGTCGCTGCTCCTCGGTGTGTGCAAGGGGAAGTGCAGAAGTAGTGGGGAGTGTAGCTGACTAAAATCCATGTAGCATTTGTGTTGGGTACATCAAGATGAACATCATGCTGATTCTGATGTGAAAATGGATGACGCCAGGCCTATAGAGTACTCATAAAGATGTTCTGTTTTATTTGGTTCCTTAGTCATGGCCTCATGAAGTCCCTTTCTTCAGCCAAACTGAAGCACTTGGTGTTGGCCTGTCTTTGCTTTTGGATTAACTGTAATATATCCTCATTAGATGTATCACTACTTGTGATGGTTCTGAACTCAAATAGTACAGTATATGTACTTTGATTGATGTGCTACCAATAGATCCTAATGAACTCAAATAAGTGAAATTGATGGCCAAACTTGACAACTAAAAGTGTCCAGACAAGATAAGTGCGCACATGCCCGCTCAGGTGGCGCCCCAGCCTCTAGTGATCAAGAATGATGCCTTGGTTTGGATGACCGTCGGTGCCAAGAACCCAGGAAAGCTAATTTTGGATGACCGTCGGTGCCAAGTACGAACTGAAGCCATAATATATCATCAGACTGAAACTGACACTATCTCCACCTGCAAACCTGTGCTAATTAATTCTCCATCCATAGAATTCGACAGCATCTCTTTCTTTACATTCACAACTGCAAAGAAAGATCACACATCCATCCACAACTACCTGCATGCAACACCATGCCACCATACCAACAACATGCATGGTTCACCCATATCATCTCCAAGCCTAGTAGTAGTAGTAGTAGATCCAAGGTCGGGTTGGTTCGACGCCAACACAAAAGACAACATGCAGTACGTTCCATGGTTTCCAGCGACATCAAAGGACAGACTAACACACGACAGGTAGAGTAGTTCCAGGTGCTACTTATTTAGATCGATAGATATAGATAGACACAGGCACATAGCGAAGACACAGTTCACCACTACCCCCAGCAGCAAGCGGATCAGCAGAAGAACATGGAGGTCCTCACATTCTTGTGCAGTTCCGGCACCGGGATGCTGCCCGCCGACGTGTGCCCCCCTCCCTGGCTCGACGACGCGGCCGACATGTCTTCAAACTTCACGAATGCGCCTACCTGTGCAGCCGCCAGATGCGCGTACATGATCGGAGCAACTGCAAGCCATCCCAAGCAAAAACACAACAAAACATAAGGAACAATGCTCATTATTTGCCAAGCAAAGACAATGAGGAACAATGCTCATTATTTGCCAAGCAAAGACAATGAGTCGCACATACCGACTGATATCGCTGTTGTGCTCCTCTGGTACCTGAAAAGGTCACAGCAACAGGGTTCAGGCATAGCTTGGCAACAGTTTTCTTTTATCAAGAATGGTACAAATTTCTCAAGCTGTAACCCTAGACTGCCTGTCTACGTACACGTATGAAAGTGAATGCACAAATTCCTGAAGCTCATCCGCGGAGAAGCCGATCTCATCATGCAGAACATGGTAATGTGTTGGCCTCGACGTGCCCTGGCACACACAGCAAACACAAACTTAAATACGACCATCACCGGGCATACTGGTACGTGGTGGTAGTAACAAAAAAACAGAGCAGAAAGCAGAGATTACTTACGATCATCCCAGCATGTGCGCACATGTAGAAGTCGAAATTCTTGGGATGGCAGACCTCTTTATCCACGACGGTCCCTACAGAATGATGACATGAACGCTTGCTTTTACTATCATTTCAAAGGAAATTGCAAGTTTATGTGATAGGCGATGTTTCGCTCTAGAAAAATAGTAGGAAATAAAGTTTACCAGGAGGAACATTATTTGGGGATTCAGTCCGGAACTTGCAGGCCTGCATTGATTAAAAGTAAATGAAATAACACTGTCCAATGCGGGGTAATTACTTGTACATCACACAAATACACTACCTCGATGATCTGCTCCAGCTCAATGTTGATGACCTGAGTAAACTGGCTTTCGCTAACTCCATCCCTAGAATTAGCACAAGTTATACAAGTTGGTGGTTAAGACATCATCAACTATCCATTTTTCAGTACTCCCTACTTTCATCTATATAGGGCCTAATGCGTTTTTCGAGCAATAATATATGACATGCAACTTACACAAAGCACACCCTCTTACAGAAATGTAGGGAAAGGCTGCATACTATAGACCCAAAGTGGTCGGACCCTTCCCTGGACCCTGCGCAAGCGGGAGCTACATGCACCAGGTTGCTTTCAACTTACACAAAGCACACCGTTAAATTCATGTGTGAAAGGAGCTTTCAATTATATAATTTTCACATTGTGCATGTCATGTACTATTAATCTTGTCAATAGTCGAAGGCGGCCTTAAAAAACGCATTAGGCCCTATATAGATGGAAGGAAGGAGTAGACAAAATTTCTGGAACTACAAAATTTACTGGTATTACCAAATACTCCTTCCGTCCCATAATATAAGAACGTTTTTTACACTAGTGTAGTGTTAAAAACGTTCTTATATTTTGGGACAGAGGGAGTAGTAATTTCCGAACTTAGTACCTGAAAATAATAATTTGCTCTGGTTTTCGATTACCAGAACTACTGTAGAAGTCGATAAGCGATTCCCTGGAAGTGGCATTTTTTCCATTAGGAAAGTGTGCAATAAAGTATAACATACATACAAGGACATGCACACATAGTATTATTCACAATAAACTGAACACAAGATTGGATCATATGTCATGTCTTACCGAATGAGGCCATCATCTTTCTTTCCTCGTGGTTTAAACAAGGAGGACATCATTTCTAGTTTGGGTGACTGAGTGTGCACTGTTGCTCTGTACTTAGAGATGAGAGGCCACTGGCGAGAATTATAACCACCTAAAGAAAATGCAAAGCCATACTTACCAGTACAGTCAAAAAAACACTTAACAAATTTGCAATCATTCAAGTGACATCTGAGCTATTATTCTGAGATTAAAACTGTATCCCTCTTACCTGAAAATAATTTCCGAACTTAGTACCTGAAAATAATAATTTGCTCTGGTTTTCGATTCCCAGAACTAGTGTAGAAGTCGATAAGCGATTCCCTGGAAGTCCCAAGTGCAATGGTATTTATTCCATTAGGAAAGTGTGCAATAAAGTATAACATACATACAAGGACATGCACACATGGTATTATTCACAATAAACTGAACTCAAGATTGGACCATATGCCACGTCTTACCGAATGAGACCATCATCCTTTCCCCATGGTTTAAATAAGGAGGACATCATTTCTAGTTTGGGTGATTGAGTGTGCACTGTTGCTCTGTACTTAGAGATGAGAGGCCACTCGCGAGAATTAACCACCTAGAGGAAATCCAAAGCCATACTTACAAGTGCAGTCATAGAAACATTTACAAAATTGCAATCATGCAGATGATATCTGAGCTACTATTCAGAGATAAAAAATGTATCCCCCATACATACCGCAGCGGTGGAAGGCCTATCAGATTGCCCAGGCTGACCATGTGACACATACATCCCCAAGACGATAGTAGGCAGCTTCCCCACAATGGGTAGTACTGCAGGTGCAGGGGATAGTTCACATTGCAGCAATGTGTTGAGACCACCAAGCTGGGTACCAACAGATTAAAAGACAACAGCCATTAGCGTATACAGCAGTCAACAAATACAGTAAAAGGAAAACAGTGTCATGTTAACAAACTTTAGCATTTATCTTCAATAACACATTAATCAGGTACTGATCGTTGACTTTTCTTGGAGGAGCTAGACATTGTGTGAAGATGCCGTATTCAGCAAGACACTTCCTCTTCCAAGGCCCTGGTTGAAAAACATATAAATTATTTATTCTGCAACAGATAATCAGGTAACAAATAACGACAACCGAATACATGAACCAACCATAAATTTCACAGTTTTTTCTGTTAGGAAGAAGGCACAGGAGGAACTTGGGGTCTCCAGGTGGATTGGAATTTATCTTAGCAAACATCTCGTCCACTCTACGTGACGCAGGAGCTCTTCTTGCCGACGGGCTCTCTTCAATTACATCACAATAAGGGTACTCTATTTTCTGCAAATAAATGAGGTTCAGCAACAGAAAATAATGACAGTTATAGATGTTGTAGAAAATGTAGAACATACAATCCCCATTTCAGTTGCAATCCTTTTAAGGTCTCGCACAAGACCATGAACATCACACTCTGCAGAGAAATTGACAACTGCCCATTTGTTGACAGAACATGTCCGAATCAGCGTCTGAAACAAAAAGAATCAGCAAACTGACAGAAGGTTCTTTGAAGATGATGATGAAGTAATAAAGACATGTCATTAAAAGAAAATATGCTGACCTTTTTTGAAAGATTCCACCTTCCGTTGCGTGGGAAGAATTCTTCACCGTTACCGGCTTTCAGCTATATGATAGAAGACTTACTTAGATACATTCAGAAGAACATCGAGCACGAGCATGAAAAACTAAGTTTGAAGAGTTCTCACTAACCTTGGGTGCTGGCAGGACCCTCCCTTCAATTTGAGTAAAATGTCGGGCAATGGAAATGTCACATGCCTTCAGCATGGGGTCAGAGTCATAATTGCTACGTTTAAGTGCCTTGCATTTAGGGTGGCATGAACTATCAGATAAGTGCCATATTACTAAAAACAGCAAGCCAAAATTTAGATGAAAACTCACATCGTTAAGTATTGACATTCTTTCATGAGGCTTTTGTCTGGACTTCTCCACAAGTGAGGACCTCTGCAGAATAGACAGATCTTTGGTGTATCTTTGCAGAGGAACGAGCTCGCAGAGCTGGCCATACGAAAAGTTCACGCCAGGACTTCAGATCATGGATGAAATTTCAGAAGGCGAAAAGATAAAGGTCTAAAATAACGAACTGAAACAAACCTCCAGAGGGAAGTACGTAGGACGATTTCGCCTCCCAGCGTTGATACAGGGAAGATCGGAATAGCGCAGTCCTATGCCTCTATTATGTACAAAGTATTCATAGACTGTTATTTCAACAGTATTAGTGTCTCCATTGTCACCATCCCTGCGCCTCAATGGAAACCTAGTTAAACATGCAAAACACAAAGCAATCAATAAATAGCAGCAAAGTGCAGGGAATAGACCAATTTAGAAACAGTAGAACACCTTCCCAAATTATTAATTTAAACACTGGTAAAAAAGAATAAAATGGCAAGAAGGAACTCTGTCTCACGTCTGTTCGTTTCTTTTTTTCTCACTCAAACCCAAAATCTTGAACTCTGAATTAGAAAGAGTGGTTTTTATCCTCAAGTTCTTGAGAGCACGCTTGGCCTGTGAGGCAAACATCCAAATTAGAATTATTGAAAGTAAATATGGTCGGCCGACTGTTCATTCAATATTATCAACAACATCAAAGATACAACTTACCTTTGACCAGTCAATTCTGTTAGGGTGATCAACCATCTGGTTTGCAAGAAGAAAATCAATAACAGGACCAGGTTTAACTAGCATGGTAGTCGAAACATCTGCAGGTTAAAGTAAGTTTGATATGACAATGTTAATTCAGATGGAGCCATTGTGAAATGAAAGACGGAGTTATACAACTATACAATAGGGTGAGATTCATACCGATGTTTAGGGAGAGTCCACTCTGCGTACCACGGAAACTTGAGTGAAATCCTCTGCACCCCACCACACCACCTTTCAAGTCAAGAAAATTACGAGGATTGTTGTGGAAAAATGACTGGCGGAGTAGAAGACAGCCCCTGTGGAAAGTCCAAAAAATTAACCATGGTCATGGCATGAAGGCATATCTCAAGCCTAAGCACAGAGTAATGCTTGTGGAGGCATCGGAACGAGACATTCATGAAGGTACATACTGTTTTGCAGAATGCTGCCTCAGTATGATATGAAGAACTCGAAGAGCCTCAAGAGAGTTCTCTGATTCTTGACCTCTAAGGGCCTGCGTGATTGCGGCCGTAGGGATTTTCGCCACAAAGCAAAGCTCCACTTTGAAAATCTTTGTCTGGTAGGACCTCTTTACTCTCTTCGTGTCACTACCTCCAGGACTGCTGCCACTATTACCTCCAGAACACCTACAACCAAGTAAGAATTGAGTTATACTGAACACCAAGCATGGTATATAACTATATACTAGACAGGGAGTAGAACTCACTTTCCCCTTCCGATGTCTTCCAACACTACAGTGAACTCATTGTAAAGAGGCTCAATTGTGAAGAGGCTCTTCTCACCATCATATGCAAATTCATTGTTCGCGAGCTCGGAACGGTACATATGCTGCAGTTTATCCAGCACCTTTCGCACTATCTCCTTTCCAACAACAGGCTGATCATCCCCATACTTCAGATTAACCTACCCATCATAGTATAACACAACACCAAATCAGCATGGGCATATGTAAATTGAAGTGTCACAAACAAGTACGCTCACATGGTAGTGGTGGAAAAAGTCATTTGAACTCCTCATGGAAACTTTGTAGTGGTTAGCAAGTAGCTGGATGGTCTGCCCTCTCTTCCCAAGCCCGGGCCTGGCCTTTGGGAGCCTCTTGGTCTTTGCAGGCTTGTTTGGAGGTAGTTCCTCAGCGACATCTTCTTCTGCTTTGATGGGCACCATGTCGGGGGGCAGAGCAGGTGGTGGTGGCAACTCCTCTGAGCCCCCATCACTCGGGTTCATCTTGGCTGAACAGACAGCTCTGTGGGAGTGCAAATGGTAAGAAATAGTAAGTAGTTGATCTAAAAAAAATGCAATGGTGAGTAGTACTCCCTCCGTCCGGAAATACTTGTCGGAGAAATGGATGTATTTAGACGTATTTTAGTTTTAGATACATCCATTTTTATCCATTTATGCGACAAGTAATTCCGGACGGAGGGAGTACAAAACAGGAAACAAATTGAAACCAGTTCCAGGATGACCAAGAAGCTCAATTTTTTTTTGAAAAGCCAAGAAGCTCAACTGCTTAGATGAAAGATAAAGGGCAGTATATGCTAATTGCTAATATATTGATTGTATTGATTTTAGGAATAAGAATTACTGCAATGATGAAATGGTCTAGATATGAAGAAGATTTACACTCTAGCTTTATAAAGAGTTATATCCTATATTTATTCTTCACTAGGAGATCCTGTATATATAAAAAAAAACATTGTGTGCATGTTTAGGAGCAGGGAAGTTTGTAAATAGTATGATGATATGATATTGCGATGACAAAAGAAATGGTATATATAAAGAAGATTTACTCTCCAGCTCCAAACTGAGTAATAAATTTTCTCCTTCACTTCACTAGATTGTTAGGATATACAAGTAGGTTTGAGACAAGCAGTATAAGTAAAACAGAGATTGCAGAGTCCTATTACATATGAACCCCACAAAAAATGCATCGCTACAATATGTAGAGCATGTTCCTCCTCCCTTATTTTGAAGGATTAATTCCTGGGGAGAGGAGAAAATGAGACGAGATTGCCGGCTGTAAAATGAAAGGACATTCACATTGAACCCTAGAACTGAAAATTAGAATGAAAGGGGAACAAAAATATTGCTTGAAGACAAAACAAACCCCAGGCAAGAACAAATATCTCCCTTGGGAAAACCCCCCAAGAATAACCTCTGGGTATTTACTTATTTTGGTCATCCATGGAAGAAATCGCCTCTGCGACGACATATTTCGTAACTTGAACAAACTAAAGCTAGTACTATGTGTTTTGTGCTTCACAAGATTTTCTTTATATATAGCTCTGCCTAATAAGAATCTTAGTTAAGAGACCTTGTACCATAGATCAGAAATATCAATATAAATGGACGGATACTAGAAAGAAAGATGTTTTTTGTTTTTGCGGGTAGAAAGAAAGATGATTTGTTGGCAGAGACTGATTGTCAGCGGTAGTAAAAATAAGAGAGAGCAAAACTGTTTCAAGAATGCATTTTTTTTTTGAGAAATCTCGCCACTTTATTAAATGATAGCAATGTTCATAGGTACACGAAAACCAAAGACCCAAAAAAAAAAGTAAAATGTTGGCAAACCGAAAACCCTAAGACGGCCCTGCCTGAGATTATGAATCTCCCCTGAACAGAAGAGAAACCTAGGCCAGAACGATTGGGGGCGGACATGCATGCAGATTAAAGAGGGGGAAGATTTACTAATAAGCTCCCGGCAAAAAAAAAAAGAAGAAAAACCCAGGAATCTAGATGGAAAATGGCGATGAGATTAGGGAGGCGACGGAAGACGGGTGGCTCACCGGCGGAGGCGGGAGCGGCGGGTCCGGTCGTCTTCTCCGCTGGTCAGGTCTCCTCCGTTCGTCCCCAAGTTGGGTTTTTTTAGAGAGAGTGAGGGGGGAGGTCAGAGGAAGTAGGGCAGAGCTTCTTCGAGAAGCCGAGCACTTATTGGAAGGGCGGCTGCTCTGCTCTCTTGCGTGGGAACACAAGAGAAGAGAAGGGTCACATCACGTCAGGGGGCTTTTGACTTCGGCGGTTCAGCTCGTCTATTCCAGTAAATTTCTTTTTTGCAATACACGATCTGCCATGCAGTGCGGTGTGCATGCGAGCGACGGCCGCGTGTCTTTTTTTTTTCTGGACTTTATTATCCGTGTATATGCGTGTATTTCACTACGCTCCAAGATTCGTGTACGTGTATTTCGCATTTTCCACCTCTACGCTCCGCTGCTAAAAGATCCGTATGCTCCAGCAACGGCACATGAATAGACTTTTTTTTTCCTTCCAACATTATTTTCCCTACCACTCACAACAATATTAGCTTTGGACCAAATGAGATTTCTAGCCATGTCCGTATTAAGCACATATTTTACCAATATTTTTAAACGGTACCAACCAATGTTTGTGGTTTTATTTGTGCAATGGATGCCTACGTACTTTGATTACCCTGATATGAAAGTCCGTTGGTGCTCCCGGGAGCGCGCGCTCCCGCACATGCAAATACTTTTTAAATGCCAAAAAAGTGCTAGCAAAAATTCTGTGTGTTCTTTGTCACATCCAAATACTACATACAAATCTGTAAGAAAAAAAGATTAAACATTTTGACTTGTGCAAAAATAAAAAAGGCAAATGCTACCCCAAAATGTCACACTAAATTTGTTCTTTTCACCAGCAAAACACCGCCGCTCCGTTTCAGATGAAATTTTTCAAGGATGATTGCGACACTAACACGAACATCTAAAAAAATCAGAATTTTTTTTGAAACAACTACTATATATTTTTGTTTACTATTCACACAGGAGCGGGTGCTCCTGGGAGCCAAAAGGCCATTCTCGTAATAATGTGCTTTCTTATCTACTTCGTAAAATGCAAATTTGCCTTCTTCTCAGCAAAAAAATTGTCTTGCCTTTTGTTGAGAATGAGAATTATGTGTCTTGTTTCTGTATGCTTCCTTCTGTCTATGCTTATATGCTCGCTATTGGGAAACGTAGCATGCAATTTCAAAAAAATTCCTAAGATCATGCAAGATCTATCTAGGAAATACATAGCAACGAGAGGGGGAGAGTGTGTCCACGTACCAAAGCGGAAGCGTTAGTTTAACGCGGTTGATGTAGTTGAACGTCTTCGCGATCCAACCGATCAAGTACCGAACGTACAGCACCTCCGAGTTCAGCACACGTTCAGCTCGATGACGTCCCTCGAACTCTTGATCCAGCAAAGTGTCGAGGGAGAGTTTCGTCAGCACCACGACATGATGACGGCGACGGTGAAGTGATCCGCGCAGGGCTTCGCCTAAGCACTACAACAATATGATCGGAGGAGTAAACGATGGAGGGGGGCACCGCACACGCTATGAAACAATTGATGTGCCTAGAGGTGCCCCCACCCCCGTATATAAAGGAGGAGAGGGGAGGAGGCCTGCCTAGGGGCGCGCCAAGTGGGGGGAATCCCACTTGGACTCCTAGTCCTATTCGGCCCCCCTTCCTTCTATTGAAGGGGGGAAGAGGGAAGGAGAGGAAGAGGGAGAAGGAAAGGGGGGCCGCGCCCCCTCCCCTTGTCCAATTCGGACTCCCATGGGGGGGTACCCCCTTGTGGGCTGCCCTTCCTCTCCCCTATGGCCCATGTGGCCCATTACTTCCCCCGGGGTGTTCCGGTAACCTCCCGGTACTCCGATAAATACCTGAAACACTTCGGAACCATTCCCGTGTCCGAATACTATCGTCCAATATATCAATCTTTACCTCTTGACCATTTCGAGACTCCTCGTCATGTCCGTGATCTCATCCGGGACTCCGAACAATCTTCGGTCACCAAAACACATAACTCATAATACAAATTGTCATCGAACGTTAAGCATGCGGACCGTATGGGTTCGAGAACTATGTAGACATGACCGAGACACATCTCCGGTCAATAACCAACAGGGGAACCTGGATGCTCATATTGGTTCCTACATATTCTACGAAGATCTTTATCGGTCAAACCGTAATGACAACATACGTCATTCCCTTTGTCATTAGTATGTTACTTGCCCGAGATTCAATCGTCGATATCTTCATACCTAGTTCAATCTCATTACCGGCACGTATCTTTACTCGTTCCGTAGTGCATCATCATGCAACTAACTCATTAGTCACATTTCTTGCAAGGCTTATCATGATGTGCATTACCGAGAGGGCCCAGAGATACCTCTCCAATACTTGGAGTGACAAATCCTAATCTCGATCTATGCCAACCCAACAAACACATTCGGAGGCACCTGTAGAGCATCTTTGTAGTCACCTAGTTACGTTGTGACGTTTTATAGCACACAAGGTGTTCCTCCGGTATTCGGGAATTGCATAATCCCATAGTCAAAGGAATATGTATAAGTCATGAAGAAAACAATAGCAATAAAACTTAATGATCATTATGCTAAGCTAACATATGGGTCTTGTCCATCACATCATTCTCCTAATGATGTGATCCCGTTCATCAAATGACAACACATGTCTATGGTTAGGAAACTTAATCATCTTTGATTAACGAGCTAGTCTAGTAGAGGCATACTAGGGACACTCTGTTTTGTCTATGTATTCACACATGTACTAAGTTTCCAGTTAATACAATTCTAGCATGAATAATAAACATTTAACATGATATAAGGAAATATAAATAACAACTTTATTATTGCCTCTAGGGCGTATTTCCTTTAGTCTCCCACTTGCACTAGAGTCAATAATCTATATTATATAGTAATGATTCTAACACCCATGGAGTCTTGGTGATGATCATGTTTTGCTTGTGGAAGAGGCTTAGTCAACGGGTCTGCAACATTCAGATCTGTATGTATTTTGCAAATCTCTATGTCTCCTTCCTTGACTTGATCGCGGATGGAATTGAAGCGTCTCTTGATGTGTTTGGATCTCTTGTGAAATCTGGATTCTTTCGCTAAGGCAATTGCTCCAGTATTGTCACAAAAGATTTTCATTGGACCCGATGCACTAGGTATTACATCTAGATCGGATATGAACTCCTTCATCCAGACTCCTTCATTTGCTGCTTCCGAAGCAGCTATGTACTCCGCTTTACACGTAGATCCCGCCGCGACTCTTTGCTTGGAACGACACCAACTGATAGCTCCACCATTCAATATAAATACGTATACGGTTTGTGACTTAGAGTCATCCGGATCAGTGTCAAAGCTATCATCAACGTAACCATTTACGGCGAGCTCTTTGTCACCTCCATAAACGAGAAACATATCC